AGGCTGTCCGGGAAAACACAAAAATGGGGAAGACGGGCGGCGTTGGAGCGGCTGAAATAGTTATGGGGGAACTTGAGAGGATAAACTTACAGGGTAAGATATAGAATTTTAGAATGTATGGCCGATACGTGATGGGTGTTTGTTGCGATCGACTACAAGGGCAACGTTGAGTCTGTGTTAGAGACATTCTATGCAAGCCACAAATCAATCGAATTTACGCTCGAGCGGAAAAATAATGGTGGAATTCTATTTTCGAATACCTTAATACATAGTAACCTAAATGGAACCGTTCAGATGGTAACATACGTGAAACCAAGATAGACAGAATAGTGTGAACATGAATAGTTCTTTCCCTCTGAAACCAAAAATATAGATAATTTGCTTATGTGAACAAAAAAGTTGGAACATGTCTGAGTGACTGAATAGACGAATCAAGAAAGCATTCAATTGAACCTCTGCAAAAGCTTAACAACACATTAATTTGACTTATTTTCTAATAATACGGTTCTACGTCGAAGATGAATCGCCCCGAAGGCTCATCCTTGTGCATTTTTGCGTTCATTCATTCATCTGACGTGAGCTACAGTGGCGGAATGATGAGGCAGCTGTCAAACGCGAACATCAGCTCCGCTTGGTCACTCACTGTAGACGCCCATTGAGGACACAGCACGTAGTTAATGTTGATCAAGCTTTTTGCATCATTTATCACAGGCCTTCATCACTATAAAAATGATTCCGAGTTAGCCCCCTATGCACGACTGAAATAGCCGCTATCGCGACATTGGATTTTCTTCTGCAAACAGAAACACATTATTTGTATTTTTCAGTCTTGTCATGGCTCGAGCGATGAAACTCAGTTTGGTGTTCCGGGGGAGGCATTAGTGATGTAACCGAGGAAAAAATCATATAATACACGACCCCAACGACTGAATCCTTTTCTTTTCCTTCTCGGTTGTCGTTATCCCCGTCTTGATTACAACGTCTTTAACCTCAATAAGTAAAGAGTTGACTGGTTGTCTCTTTTTTGTATGTACGTAGACTGAACTTTGAGATAAGAAGGTGAATGAAACGACTAGAAATCTTGGCTCATACAGACTGCACTTCATGGAGAAACCATTTTGCTACAAAGATTATAAATTGTAACATGGTATCCAAGTTGTCCATTAGGACAGTATGTGAATGTCAGTTCGTATGCTAACAGCAAGAAAAAATAAGTAGGCTGGATCTAACATTTGCAACCTCTTCCAAGTTCAGCTCACTATCAGCTTGTTAGACATGCTTGGGAATAATTCAAATTGCAATTGTTGTTTGGAATTATGACTACATCTAGCTTCTTGATATTTCTCCCAATGAAGTGCTATGGTCACGCACCGAACAATCCTTGCTCAATATCCTAAAAGACGATTTAGTAACGAACTAAAGCAAATCCTCACGACAACCTCGAATACGTGGATTCTGAGGGAATTCGTGCGACTGATGTATGGATGTTTACCTCAGACTATGCATAAATCGAAACGTTTGTGCCGTGGAAACAAGCATCACAAGTGTCATCATTTTATACTGTGTGTTATCAAAGGAATCTAATCTCACACGTAACCATTTGATGTGAGCATGGTTTTTATTGATTAAAGTGTTCAACTATCATTGGAAAATGAAATAGTAATATATGAGACGCTTATTTCTGTTGGTTGTTGGTTTTGAAAAACAATACGAATACTCATATGATAAGGAAAAACAAGTAGACGGATTATTCGTATTGAATAATCATTATAACTGCATTAGTTAGTGTAGGTGCTGCTTGTTAACTTATCCTGATTAAAGAGTGAATGTGAAATGTCACCGTCGGTGAACCAGGACCAAGCCCTCCCCCCGAATCATTGGGATGTTGACCAGAATGGTCTACATCTCCAAATCCAGATTTAGAGCATAAACACTCGGCGTATTATGATTGACAAACACAGAACAGCATAGTCATTTGATGTGTGTTAAGAGAGACCAGTGCATGTAAATTCCTATTTACGAATTGAGCAGAGATCTGACCACACAACATCTCTATGATTCAATACGTTTTCAGTAGGAACAGTTGTAAATGTTGCATCTTCATGATGATTACATCATACTAAATGGAAACTTAAGGTGTCGAGAAACGTGTTGACCTTGCAGTTGTGGTGAATTTATGGATAAAGGTTTAATAAGGCCCATATCGTCAGTTAGAGGACACCAGGAATTCATCACTAGAAGTGAAACGCGTGTGCTTCGCAAACCACCAGTTGCAACCTGTTGCAGTGCTATTACAAGCCATTACTTTCGGTCTTCGATCCCTTACCGGCTAAATTACACGCTCAACAATAGAAATTAACTAAATCCTTTATGCAAGTGAGCAGGGTGAGGGCTAAATCCCCGATTATTTTCATCTGCGTTGGGGTTGTAGGCATTTCCATTTGTTTTACTCGTGTTTGATTCTTCCTCACCCCATTCATAATGCGATTTGATCACACAATCATTTGAAATGCCCTGGCTTTTCAGGCGAATAAATAGATTTTGCGACAGTACTCAAATTGGATTCAGTTAAAACTCACGGAGATCGATTATACCCTAAAAAATTATTTCCTGAAATGCGAATTGAAGAATCATCTTTAAATTACTGGGGTGCGATGAAATGCTGTTCATTCAGTATTTGATTTCGAAGTGGATCAGACTTGTGACTTAAACGGCCAATTGTAAAGGACATTGTTATATATGATCCGAATACTGTTTTGGTTAGTTTAAGCATTCATTGAATCTGGGGGCATCCGAGATAACGATGACGGGCGGGTTGCAATTATGGTCTATACCGATCGGTGGGGATGAATTTCATCACAGATCTGGTGAAGCTGTTAGTTACAAAACAGCTACAACTGTTGATTACGAGCTTGTGAGCGAGCACGTATGAGCATTTCTGTATTGTGTAGTGTTACGAACTGTCCTTTTGGTGTTGACTTGCCACACTCAGGTTTTTCAAGTCAGCCACAACGAGCTAGAAACACTGAACACACATGAATAGCCTCAATAGCAATTTTCTGTTTTAACCATAAACCTAAGTTATCCCCAAATTTCTATCTACTGTTCATTCAAACCAGGCACAAGAAAAGTCGCATTCTGGAGAGAGGCACCGTTGGGACGATTCTACAACGTCCGGTCACGTTTTACCTCTTGACACACGCACATCCTCACCCACTATACTGTTTATCAGTGCAATCCCGTACAATCAAGTACGTTTGCGTTTCAAGAAAAAAGCCAAATGGATAAGACCGTAAATGATTGAGCAGTAAAACTCATGATAGGTTCAAAGAGACAAAACAATTTTCACTCTGCAACCACTCCCCTTATTAATTATCCGCATCAAGTCTCACGTCATGCTATGTAAAAAAAATTGATTTCTTACTGCCTCAAGTAGTCACGTGACGTAGTGCAACATTATGCTCCTTGATTTTAATAACTATAGCCAACGTAAGGTTATTCTACTGTTTCCGAAAAGGAACGTGTAAACGTTCTACCTTATACTTATACTTATAATTTTGAAACCTTTAACCGGATTATCATATTCATCAAACTGGGTGTTCAGCTGGCACGCGAATAACGTTCCGTATTGGGTGCATCAGCTCACCTGGTTAATTCTGCTTATCAGTTTTGGAACAGACATAGTACGGTTTTACGTGGATATTTTGAAGATCAAAGAACCAGGCTGCATTCTGTGTTACACTGGTCAAGGTTGTCACCAAAACTTTTGTTCCCACTGGAAAAGATATCTGATTTATTGCGGGCAGATTCTGGATAGAGTTGGGGGAAAGGGACAAAATTATCTTTTGTTTTCTTAGTTCTTATTTGTGAACGATCCACGAATTCCCACACTGGTCTGAGAATGTGTCCACGTTATAACTAATAGAGTTGATTTTCAAAATATTTTTTCATGCTATGTTAGACCTGTTTATCTTCTATTGTTGCGAACTTCTCGAATTCGCATTCGGTTGCAATGGATTCAGTCTTGAACGATATACGTTCAAGAAGTACGTTGGCCTTTGGTTGGACGCACCTGTGCTGAGCTCTCCATTGGTGACCAAATCATTTCCACATGACGAACTGTTTGGATTTCCTATGTGGGCCATTCACAGAGCAGCCTTCCTCATTTTCCTTCATTTTCCAGAATCCCTGTGATTGACCGCAGTCATCATGCTAAGAATCTATTTCACAATTTATATAATAATTAGATAAACCAAATTTGAACATATTGTTTCTTTTAGACTACTTGATGACTGATTACGACAAGTAGCGTGTGTGCATTTGTATAATTTAGCACGCAAAAGCCCTGAAAAGAAAGTGTCTCCTGTAAAATTCCACTACTCATACCATTGTTCTAAAGATGCTTACAATGACAAACGTTTGACGTGGTTCGGTGGTTATTTTTGGTGCTCGATTCGATCCATAAACCGAAATCAATGCAAGCGGATCCGATTGCTGTTCACTCTATCAAGCTGCGTAGACTTAACTTGGTTTGCTGCTTACAAAATGTTATTGTCTTCGCTGTAAGCAAACAGTCAGAGGTTTGACAGCAGGTGTACGCGACAATGAAAAGAATAGAGAAACAACTGCACTCCTATTGGTTCAACAATAAAGCAGCCAATCAACAACGAACCAATTAGGGTTCAGTTTGGTTACCTTAGTTAGACAACCAATCAAATGGTGAAACAACACCCTGGTGGCCTCAGCCAGCCAGCCTTTGTGCACACACACGCATACACACACACACACGAGAGAGAGAGAGAGCGCACACACAATACCTCGATCGTTTGCATCGAAACGCACCGTTGTGAGTGTCTTCTTACGTACGCATTCGCGTTCATGTGCCTTCGGCGCCCCGGATTTGGATTTGCTCCGTCATTCTGGCTTGACACCAAGTTGTAACAAAATGATACAAGTCAGGAATTTTGTGGCGCTTGACTACAGTGACTCAAGCAGACGGTATGAAGCAAGTGATCGACAAAGAGCAAGAAAATGGTGAAATTCGCCGACTGGCCGTTAGGCGACCTATACTGAAAAGGAAGAATCTATTACCCGAAGTGCTATGTTGTTGCAAACCTCGACCGGAAAATATCCATATTTGTAAATTGTCCTCTGTGATGAACGCTGATGAGCCCGATTCACCACAGCCAGGAGAGGCTTCACAATCAGTTCAAAATTGTGATTCCACTGAAAACGATGTCAGTTTACCGATCAGAGCACCATCCAGTTCGCACTCAAAATTTCTGAGTGGATGTATGCCTATACATGGCTTACGTCGTTCCGCTTCTTCTCCGAGACATTCATCTCGCAGAACTATCATATCCAACACGCGGAATGTATCCGTACGGAATCAGAACATTACCTCACCGGTAAATGACGAGGCTAATCAACCTGTTGAGGCATCAAAAGCAAACATTTCATCCGATTTATGGGACAACGAAGGATCATTCAAATGGCGTAAGGTACGACCTTCTGCCACAATTCATCACACCAACTTAAGTGCCCTCAAACCATCTCACCTATGGATTAGACACAAACATACATCGGTATCCGAAAGCTCTAACATGTCACAGTCTATTAGTCCCCTTGGAACACCTTTGACGGATACCACTTCTGTGTTTCGTGATCCAATGCTAGAAGAGTTGGATGCAGAGCTCCCTGTACCCCCACCTCCTCCTCGTGCATATCCACCGTGGTTGAAACTCGCCTTATTGAAACAACAACGTGAACATACCAGTAACCCAGTTACCCCGACCACAGACTCTTCCATCCCTTGTTCTGGATTATCACGCTCTCAGACATGTGACTACTCCACCAGAGCTGGCTCTCGCCCCGGTTTAAATAAGCAAAAATCGATTAGCCTGGAAAACGATCGATACGGGATCCGCATCTATCCAGTCATTCAAGATGGGGTGAAAATAAGCGATACACACTATTGGTTACTTGATGCTCCACAACCACGCCATGTACTACCTCCATGCCCTTGTGCAGAAAGTGTACCCATCTCATCTTCACCTCTGAATGAAGCGGGTGACTATTTGAATGTGCCCGCTGGTGTAAACCTACGCCGAGAGAGATCTGAACCAAGTCGACAAGCTCTGAATAACATTCATTACCAAATGGTACAACGTTTATTGGAAGCGGTTCCCGAGGCTACTGAAGCCGAATGTCAAGCAGTGCTTATCGGAGCAGGTTATCACTATGAGGAGGCTATGCGGCGTTTGAAACTGGAATTACTGCGTCGTTTGGGCTATTTTTCCCGATCGCAATTCAAACGCATCCTGCAGAAGGTTGACTGGAATTTGCCACTAGCCATGGATAAAGTACGCCGAGCAATGCACGCTCGTAGTAAATCCACTATGCAATCATCTAATCCGAGCGGTTCACTATCAGACCCAAACAGTGCATCTCTTTCCCCGACCCCAACAACCGACACTCAAACTGCCGATATCCCTCAGTTCAGTGGCACGCTGGATGTGCTTCAATCCCCCACCTCTCCGATCTCAACCAATTTACTCGATTCACCGGGTGTAAATTCCACATCGGCCCAACATTTGAATATAGCCCATAAGAATCGGGCATATCCGTTTCGGAGTACAGAACCGCCTTGAAAAATTTGTGCATATTCTCTGATGCATTGTGCAACTAAGCTGTTCTTCTCTTGATTGGGAGATACGGATCTCGTCCCGGAATTCGCATTTATTTTTCTTCCTTCTCGTGTTCTGGGGTGAGTATTTCCGCACAAACAATCACGTACACATTTATTCCCACATGGTGCTTTTTGTCCTTTTTCGCGTTTACCAAATGCCATCAAACTGAGTTTTTCTATGCGTGTGTGTATGCGTTCCTGTTCTCTTATTTCTTGTTTGATCTCAGTCAGTTTCCTTGTTCATTAAGTCACTAGTCTGTCCACTCTCTGGTGCCTGTTGCTCCATTCTATCTCTGGCACACATACACACAAATACACGCACGCAAACTACAAAATAACCCGAAGCCCAACCATTGTGCTTTCAACGACAACCCGATTTTCTTTGTTCGAACACCAAATATTTTCGCCCATGTGCGGCGATCATTCGTCTCTTTTGAGAAAGTGACCTATCTTCCACCATGAACATCGTCTTCGCCATCCTTATCATCACCCTCATAATCAGCATCATGATAATCTATTCAAATCGTGTTCAGTCTGCTCGATATTTTCGGATTTTTTAAGAGGAGAATGTGTTATTTGCTTTAATGTTTCTAACTTAAATGTAGTCGTTATTGCCATTAGTGCCTTCTTCCTGCCCCATTGGCTACGACCTAAAGATGGATCTATACGACGAGCAGAATATCATACGCACAAGCTCCCTCCGTCTGTCCCCTTCGTGTATGTATTGTGTGACCGCAGACTCTGGTCGAGAGATGCATACGCGTAAGTCAGTGCTGTTTTAATCAAAAGAGAACAATGTAGGTTATAGCCAAGCCTAACTATCGTAGACAAGACAAGAGATTACTGGAATTTAAGAGTCGATGCCAACCTAAATTTGCACAATTTCAGTCCAGTAAATGTTGAAGTGTAAAATTGTGGTTTTATGTAAAAAGATCCTTTTGAATTCGTTCAAATCACAGATAAACTTGTATCGCGCTGGCGGGTGTGCCATCGGTTACAGAACCGTTACAAAACAGTTCACTCTTGGATACTTTTGTTTGGACACTAAGTTGAATTAGTGTCCGGGTCCATGATCGCGAATTTAGCTGCAAGGTCAACATGATCACTTTAAATAAAATTGTCAAAAGAGAAAATCCGTGCGTTCTGACCAGATGCTTGAACTATTTTGAAGACTACATAATTCGTATTCTCACGGCAAACGTTTCGCAACTACTCGTTTAGTACTAAGAATTTTTCTTAATTTTATGTGAAACTTCTTATATCAGACTTTATCAATTTTCTAGATTTTTCACCGATTTTGCACCCTTAAATGCGATTATAAAAGCAAGAACAAAGTAATGAGTAAGCTTTATCGGATTTGGGAGTTCGCTATTTGTAGCGTAGTTTATTTTTTTAAGGTAACCTATTGTGAAACAACAGTATGTTGTCGGATATAAATCAGCAGTGAGGACGGTCCATGACTACAACTGGCCTGTGGTGGTTATGTCACTATCAGCACCCAAAATTCGTTTTTTTCAGTTGGACTTTGAAACTTTCAACTTCAATTCATATGAGAAACGGTTGCGAACCGGTCTGATTGCACAACAATGTGAATTAAAGCTTCCTATCAGAGAAAAATCAAATTGATGTATGCCCAAAATATACAGGACCATCAGTGATATGTGTCAATCTCGGAACTCAAACGGTGCACGGTAAATTTCTTGAAAAACTAACAGCTACCACAGTTTGAGCCACATGATGGTTGTGTTTGGGTGCCACTCGTTGGACGTTTCTCACAAGTCAGTGCAATCTATTCACTCTGTTTGTGAATTTGTGTGCTACACAAGCTATGCTTCACTTATTATTATTATTATTATTATTATTATTATTATTATTATTTTGTTTAATTTTTGTTTGCCTCTTTCGGTGAAATAACCGGTACTGATCGTTTTGTTGGAGCGTGTTTGAATTATAGGTAAAAACCGAATCGCTATCAACAGTTGAAATTCTATGCAGCTCAGAGAATTAATAGTGAGGATAATTGTTTCACTTAAGTGACATTAGACAACTTGAACAATTTGTAATTGATTGAATTTGGGTCATCACTGGGGCTCTAAAATAAATACCGTTGGGCAAACCAACTCTTTTCTGTTAGAAATTACTTGAATTTACTGTAGCTCCGTAAAGGTCGCAAAGTGCGGTGCGTACGGTAGCCTTTATCAGCGCCACACGGCTTTGAGTCGTTAAATCGGGCCGCAGAATTCGTTTGCCCATCGACAAGTAACTGGTTTTACATATCGTACGCCATCTATATGTTTAGGCCTCGGTTAAATTCACTCCGGTCTGGACTCCCTGTCGATCGGTCTTCTAGTGTGTGTTTGTTGAAAAAATACTTCTTTCAGTCTCAGGTGAGCGTTGCGTAAGTGACTGAGATCATGGGAGTGAAACATGCCCCCCAGTAAGGAACATGACAGCTTTTTATATCAGAAATGCCATTCCTATTAGATAGTTGGCCAGCATAAGAGGCTGATAAATTGTTACATAAAAGCTTTTATTGGGAATATATGGTACTTATATATGGCTGTATAACTGTTACCGGAGAGGGATTCATGCATTTTAATGTAAACGTGTTCCACAATCCAGAAAACTAGCTTTAGGATCACTTCAAGAGAAATCGTGAATGCTGAGTGTGGTGGTACAAAACAAGCCATAGTGTTTATGATGAATTAACATCTGAGACGAAATCTACTGAGATACCGAGGTCATATACTGTATATTGTGTCCGTCGGTTCGTTTTTCTTTATCCATACGGTTTGCGCAAATCTGTATTTCAGTTGATTGAGCACAAGTTGTAGAAAATATCCTGCTTGGAGTCACCGATCGTTTCACAATATATGTATACGGAGAAACGCAATTTCTTCTTGAAGACAGTAGAAAAAATTCGTATGGAGTATTGTAATGCGAACGTACTCCGGACGCCCGCAGAGCAGCGGGCTGAGCATCGGTGCATCGACTCGTATTCTCGCATCTGGAGATGATACGAGGTTTTTCGGGCGACGAACGACCGCAGGGGAGCAGTGGTACGGTAGCGACGAAACACTGGTAGGCAGGTCCTCTGTGGGTTGGTGTTGAAGATAAACCTCTAAGGCAAAGCAAATAAAACTTCATGAATACAAAAGGTCCAGAGAGATAAAAGAACCCGGGATAAAATATTACTGGCTTGGTTGACAAGCCTTGCACTGCCCCCACTCATGAAGGTCACTGTCCTCAATATTCACACACGCAAGGTTAGGGAGTACGTGACGAACGAGGGACCATCCTACCGCGACGTCAAATGTAATGTAGCGAGAGAAGTCGAGTACTCAGGGCACGGACAATGCGCAAAACACCACTCTCGCAAACGACACGAAAACAGAACGCACAACGGCCGTGAGCGAATGAGAACCATAGTGATTGATAAATTCGTAACAGATCGATAAAATGGACAACAACGAACAAATAACTTTAAACAAGACAGGAGGTCAGTCACCGTTTAACGAAAGGTCTTGGGTTGTTAAGGCACCGGGTAAAAGCTGAAATGGAAGGAGAGAGGGGACTTTGTTTTAGAGTGCACTTTCGGTTTCATATCATCGCCCCCACGGAAGCACCCGACTTGTTTGCAAATATCTAATCAGCCGCCATGAAAGGAATCGAACTCAATGTGAAATCGCCGTCCTCGAATCAGGTTGAATACTAAGCAGATTGCGAACGTAAACCAGAATAAATCGAAAACCTAACGAACTAATGAGCGTGGTGGGAAACCAAAATCACTATCACAGAAATCCATGCAACATCCAAGTTGAATGTATTGTTTACATAATAAGCAGTAAACTGACGTATGAAATGATAGAATAAGAGGAACCGAAGTGTCGGAAATATTACTCTTTTGTGTATTAGGTTTTATTGGTTAATTCCAGAAATTATTAAATTATTTGATGAGAACGCAAAGGCGGAGACAACTTGGGAATGAGGACCTGCAGCCAACTAAATGCCAGCATTAAATTGATTATATTAAGGAAGTTAGACGATGAGGGTGGGATTTAAACACACGATCTTTAGACCTACCTTATTCGAACACTTGCACTCAGTCTAGCCAATGAGATGGATGGGTAGAGTACGCAGCCGTTAAAAGGGGCGCCCTGACACATCATGGAAAAGGAAACAACTTGTTGTAACATAAGGACAAGGAATTTTAATAAAACATACTTTCACCCAACCATACTGATTGGCTAGCTTCTGATGAGTACAGCCTATCCATAATAATGTAGATAATTGCGGGTTTCAGTGATCCCACACACACACATCGAGAGTAACCGTATTTGCGTTTTTGTTGATTCTACGGATTATGTGTCTGCAAACAAAACAAACGCCTGAGCCGTTGCATTTATCAGCATTTTTCACGACAGGATAATGTGTGGACACCTTTAGATGTACCACGATATAATCCATAATGGAGGATAGCTGTCGTATCCACTAGCCCTGACAGTGTTGGAGTAGAGCGCTGGAACGACGTATCGAGTAACAGCATCACTGCTTTACCCTTCGGGGCTTTACCTATTAGGTTATCTGATCAACAGTGTAGATAGCTGGGGCTCGTAAAACAACAGAATGCTCTAACAATGGAATGTTGCAGAGATCTGTATAATTGAGACATTCAATGAGCTTTTCGTTGTATGTGAACAGCGGGCTAGGAATGATGGTGACATTACACTGATCATTTGATATCGACGTGCACGTGGCTGAGGTGAGTATCAGATAGCTAGCTACATGTTACATGTACTTTAATCAAATCATGGTATAAGTAATTATTCATTGGCATAGAAACAACTTTATTCACGGGTTATGAAAGGTGGCTTACAGTACCTAAATGAATATCTCTGTTTGTTGATATGTTTAATGCGCATCTTCGTACTTTTATGGACAGGGGCTCATTAGTAGAACCGG